TAAGGTGTCGGAACGCTGTTGTTACTCTCGGTGTATACATCAAAGAGATACTTCACAGAGTATGTACAAAGTGAAGATTATGCTGTTGTTTTATTTGTCAGGAAACAAGGCAAGTATTTCCTGACACGGGTCTTAATCATATGACTCATTCATTGAAGATTATGCAGTATATCTGACAGTTCAGAGACTGACGACCTGCATTGACGCCTTCAAAACAGACAACATGGTAATTATCTCGCACAACTTCTGATAACTATACCAGATTTAATGTTGCACTTTACATAAACAATAATATTGATTTACTTATTATATGATTAGTAATAAATAACATAATAATAATAATATTATTATTTTTATTATTATTATTATTATTAATTATTATTTTCTACTAATCCTTTTATAAGTAAGCAAATATTATTGTATATGAAAGTACAATATTAAGTCTGATATACTTGTTATCAGGAGTTCTGAAAGTGTCTTACCACGTTATCTGGTTTCAAGACATCAATGTAGGTTATCATTTTCTGTCAATGAACTGTCATATATGTCAACTTGTATCAGTGTTTAAAGATGTTGACCGATAAGCCAACGGAAGGCCTTGGTCAGATGACTGTGGCATGCTAAAAATGTTACATTTTATTCGGCATATGTCACCCCCATGTAGGCATGTCTCCCGACCAGTGAACCAGGTGCTGAGGGTTTAACGAGCAGCAGTACCATCCTTATACTAGAACCTTGGTTCACGCAATCAATCACAAAGCGATGTGGAACACTCGTGAAGCAGCCTTGGTAAACTTACCTTCACAGCTGGTTGCTACAGTTCTCATCGTCTCTTGTGCTTGCATTGGCCTCACTGTACTTAGCGGTAAGTACTGTACAATGGCTATACATATATTGTAACTACCAGCTTGTTTTGGTGAAGGAAATATAATCATTTATTCCGCTGCATTTTTGCTCGTTTCTAGGTGTTACAGCAAAGTGTGCAGGCCAAATAATCTACGCCTGTCTTCCTAATAATGATTAAAAACTCCAGCAGCGAGTTATCATACAAGGCTTGCACCAGGAAACAATTGCCTTGTTCCATGACTAATCTTGCCTGACCTAGTGTTAGGTTAATATCTGTATTATGCACACCATACCCATTTTGTAGGTGGTAGTCAAAATATTACAGAGGCAGATGATGGGGTCCATGGACTGGGCCGCAGTTTTGATAGCTGAACATGTTACAGTGGTAATAAACTATTTACCTGTTTATATCTGGTAATAAGCACTTTATACATGTTCTGAGAAGGATAATCGGACGTGTATGTACTGAAAACTACAGTGTATGTACACTTGGAGGGTCGTATGTCACAGTATGTGTGTGCAAAAATGCTTCAAAACGATTAATAACCTGAGTTATAATACCGAGTTATTATAAAAGGCCGAAAGCACTAAAGATGTCCCTGTTGGCCGAAAGCAGGGAAAAAAATTGGACATGATAACGACATGCTGTAAGGTCATAAAAAGCCATGGAAGATTAGGTAGATTACTTTTTTCATACCTGCAGCAGCGATACCAAGAAGCCACAGTTGTAAACTGAGAAAAAAAGAAAAAGCGAAGCCGAAAGGATACTAGGAAATTTTTCTTTATTGAGTGGTAGATCCATGGAATGAATTAAAGAGGATTATATAATGGACAAATTATTGAAGATAGGACACAACGAACATAACTCTGATCCAGTAGTTACAAATAGGTAATTAGTTTTTAATAATCCCTATGTTATGAATTAAAGTATTTTTGACTAGCGAGCTGCAGCCTCTTCCAGTTGAGTTTCAAGTACCAATAGGCTAGCTGTTGCTTAACCACGGGTATATAAATTCTGCTTTCCTAGCCTTGACTCACAAATCTAGATAATTCAAGAAAGTCCTTAATATAGAGAAATAGGTAGTTCTTCTCACCAGATGGCTTTGGTGTGGACTTACAAGTTGTTTATTACAATTTGAGTTCATATAATTTATATGTAATATCTCGCCGTTAAACTAGTGATATACTACCAGTAAGAAAGCTCATTCTTAACGACGGGTATATAACACTGGTAAGCCACATCTTAATCACTGATACCCATCACTGGTACACCAGTGATTGTTAACCAGGTAGGGTAGATTCTTAAGGAAAGTGATTCATCACGTACACTCATTATCACACCAAAGGTTCAGATTTTAACGTTTCATAGCTTACCTTGGCCACTTGTCAAACACATTGTCGCCATTCTTCATATGTTTGACCGGCATCAGAAAAAAAAAATCCCATTTCTCGTGACAAACAAAGCACCCCTTCCTCTCTCCCTGTGAATATATCGCAAAAGGAGAGAAAATAATAAATTATTAAATAATCTTTATTGGCATTTTTCCTGACCCGCGTCAGGAAACAGGACAAGTGTTTCCTGACGCGGGTCTTAGATGATGACCCGCCGTTAGAGCTTTTGGTCATCTGACCGAAGCCTTCCACTGGCTTACCGTTCACCCCCTTTAAAAATTATAGTTATTGTTCTTACCATAGCACACGAAGGTGAGGGAGCCAGTATATATGGGAGAGGGGGGACAGGGACGGGAGAGAAGAAGAAAGAAGTGCAGATTATTTTTGTATTGTTCCAGTCACGGTATTATGCCTTTATGTTCTTCTTTAAAACAATAGTAAGTAATTTCAAGTGAATTATTTATAAAATTATTAAATAAATTAGTGACATTTTTCAAGAAAGTAATCTTGTTGATATCAGTGTTCAGGATCACTACAAGGAATCTTCTATCATAACAAACTGTATCTGAAAAACTGCAAGTTGTAAAGCGTAGATTTTAATATCTTATCATAGCATCGAGAGCAAAAATCACCCAAGTTTTAAAGATATGTACAAATCTTAAATATTTTTCCTCCTCTTCCTGCCCCGCGATGATTGTGCGATGAGGTTTGTAATATTACTTTTTCTTTGGGACGGGGGGGGGGGGAGCTATGATTTGATTTGTGCATTGTGTGTGTGTGTGTGTGTACTCACCTAATTGTGGTTGCAGGGGCCGAGACTCAGCTCCTGGCCCCGCCTCTTCACTGATCGCTACTAGGTCCTCTCTGTCTCTGCTTCCAGAGCTTTGTCATACCTCGTCTTAAAGCTATGTATGGTTCCTGCCTCCACTACATCACTTGTTAGGCTATTCCACTTCCTGACAACTCTATGACTGAAGAAATACTTCCTAACATCCCTTTGACTCGTCTGAGTCTTCAGCTTCCAATTGTGACCCCATGTTTCTGTGTCCCATCTCTGGAACTACCTGTCTGTCTACCTTATCTATTCCACGCAGTATTTTGTAAGTCGTTATCATGTCTCCCCTGACCCGCCTGTTCTCCAATGTCGTCAGTCCAATTTCCCTCAACCTTTCTTCGTAGGACATACCCCTGAGCTCCGGAACTAGCCTTGTTGCAAACCTTTGCACTTTCTCTAATTTCTTGACGTGTTTGACCAGGGTTCCAAACTGGTGCTGCGTACTCCAGTATGGGCCTAATGTAGTGTACAGTGTCTTGAACGATTCCTTACTAAGGTATCGGAACGCTATTCTCAGGTTTGCCAGACGCCCGTATGCTGCAGCAGTGATCTGGTTGATGTGTGCCTCCGGAGACATGCTCGGTGTTATGGTCACCCCAGGATCTTTCTCCTTGAGCGAGGTTTGCAGTCCTTGGCCACCTAGTCTATACTCTGTCTGCGGTCTTCTTTGCCCTTGTCCGATCCTCATGACTTTGCATTTGGCAGGGTTGAATTCAAGAAGCCAATTGCTGGACCACGTGTCCGGCCTGTCCAGGTCTCTTTGAAGTCCTGCCTGGTTCTCACCTGATTTAACTCTCCTCATTAACAGGGACACCTCTGAGACTATCCCTTCCATCATGTCATTCACATATACCAGAAATAGCACTGGTCCTAGGACCGACCCCTGTGGGACCCCGTTCGTCACAGGTGCCCACTGTGATACATCATCCCGTACCATGACTCGTTGTTGCCTCCCTGTCAGATATTCTCTGATCCATTGCAGTGGCCTTCCTGTTATACGCGCCTGATCCTCTAGTTTCTGCACTAGTCGCTTGTGAGGAACTGTGTCGAAAGCCTTCTTGCAGTCCAAGAAAATGCAATCAACCCACCCCTCTCTCTCGTGTCGCACTTCTGTAACTTTGTCATAGAACTCCAGAAGGTCTGTAACACAGGATTTGCCTTCCATGAATCCGTGCTGGTTATAGTTTATGATCTTGTTCCGTTCCAGGTGCTCCACCACTCCTGATAATCTTCTCCATGACTTTGCATACTATACAGGTCAGTGACACTGACCTGTAATTTAGGGCCTCTTTTCTGTCTCCTTTTTTTAAAAATGGGAACTATATTTGCGGTCTTCCATACCTCAGGTAGTTGCCCAATTTCAAGGTATGTGTTGAAGATTGTGGTTAATGGCACACACAGTATATGAGTGTGTGTGTGTGTGTACATTGGTCCATGAGGGTCAAGTACTCCATCCTCTTGTTTTTTTAATTTACTGATTGTGGAAAATATTCGTGTATATATATATGTCGTGCCAAATAGGTAAAACTTGCGGTTTTGGCTTGTTGAACAAGACAAGCTAAATTTTTTTTATGCAATAATTTCGCATAGTCATTCTGAACCTAACGAAAAAAATATATTTCATTGTGTTTATTATTAAATTATTGTACACTTATCTAAAATATATTTAGTTGGATTAGGCCGAATTAAACTGAGCTTGTTATAATAAGGTTAGATAAGTTTTCTAAGGTTCTTTTGGTACAAAAATATTAATTTTTTCATTAGCATAAATTAAAAAAATATTTTTAAACCTATAAGAGAAAATTTTAGAAAGGACTTAACTAACCAATTTTACCTATTCGGCACGACATATATATATATATATATATATATATATATATATATATATATATATATATATATATATATATATTAATTAGTCGTTCCCATGAACACTTCTACCTGGTCTTCCTACTCATTTCTGCAACATTGCAAGCTCCTGATTATGTGTTGATTGCAGCACGAAAGTCCTAAGTTATCTTTTAACTCCCCCGTGGTTATGTACAGAAAGGGGTTACTAGCCCCTTGCTCCCAGCATTTTAGTCACCCCTTACAACATGCATAGCTTACGGAGGAAGGTTTCTTCTCCACTATATATATTAACTGCCTGAGTTATATTATTCCTAGCTATTATGATTTGTTAATTTTAAAGTTGGTTTTAAAATTTTGGGTATTTAAAATATTCTTGAGCATCGGTATACATCAGGTATAGCGCTTTAAATAACAGCTTAGTCGATCGGCTGTAATCCTCGCAAATTAACCAGATGTTAAATGCGAGCCTTCCTGTTAACTTTATCATAGACCTCAGGGAAAGCTCTTTCACAATGTAGTTTTTTCCTCATTTTGTCATACAGTGAATGGTCAAACATTTCACGGTATTCTTCTCGAGTCATATACGAGTCTGCATACATCATTTGAAATCTGTGGAAGGAAAGTAAATACTGTTAAAAAAATGCTTTTGGAATAGGCTACACGAAAGATCAACTCTTCCATCATTAAAGCTTACTCAGGGAAAAAATATAAGAATGACCATTGTCGAGTGATCTTGTATATTCCACCCTCCCCCCCCCCCATAAAAATATTGCATAGATTAGGGCGATATATTTTTTAGCAATATAGTGAAAGAAAATTTCGTTACTGACCCTTTATGTTTTCGTACAAATTTCTCAATTCTGCGTGTAGTGTGTGTAGGCTCGTAGCTTGGAACTCCAGGCTTACCATAGGTGCCGATATCAATAAACACGGCTTCCTCTCCATTTAAGGGATGAAGCATTCCAGGATTTGCAGGCAATTTGAAAGGACATAGCCAGATGGGATATATCTGAAACATGGAAATATGTAATGAATCAATGGTGTAATTCACAATAAACGCCCTGGTGAGGAGAAAATTCACCTGACATTTCAGTTCATCCTGGAAGGATGGCAAGTGGTCCTGGACAGGATAAGTCGTCTGAAGTGTCTTCTCAAAATTTCCTGGTTAGCTGTGAATTATTCCAGGAAGAGTGTTGTCTTTTTTTCACTATTAACTCAGTTTTTCTCACATGAAATTTCGTAATTGGCTTTTATATATCTTTCAGGGATACTTGTTTACTTCTGTATGACTACAGTATCTCACATTAATAAAAAAAATATCATTTTGCAACTGTCTTCAAACTAAGTTAACTAAAATCAACCTTAGCTTCAGTTGTCAGAATGAGTCACATTTATAAAATTATACACGAATAAGAGATGGTTGGCTGGCAGATGGTAGAGAGAGAAAGAGTTTGCAGAAGAGAGATAGAGTTTGCAGAACAGTCCCTTTACTAAAAGACCCGTTCTGTTCTGTCTCAGTATCGTCCATATTTGTTGGCACTTTGCCTAGCAATCAACAAAATAGGTTGTCTTACATACCTTGACTTCCTCTTCAAAGAAAGCAAGTGCTTCCTTCATGACTGTGAGAGGAACCAGCATATCTTGTATGAAGTGATTTTTCTCGTACAGTTCCTTGATAGCTTGACCTTGAGTCAGTTTGAGTAGAGAAACTTTAGGGGGCACCAGCCAGCCCAGCAGGTAACGGAATATCACATTGTTTCCGAATGGAATTATATCCTGAGATTATGACTTAAAATTAGGTTTGACGAAATATATAATATATATACGCATATACATTATATATATATATATATATATATATATATATATATATATATATATATATATATATATATATATAATAAAATATAGGGAGGTACCACCTCTAGAAGTTTACTGGGGACCCTCATCCTCAGAGAAGACAAAAAACGTACCTCAGGAAAAACTCAAGGTTGTTAACAATGCAGAACAAGCCACATGGAGATGGAAATCTTTAGCTCCCCGTGTGACTTGTTCTGTATAAGTGATGGCTGTGTCGTAGTCTCGATATTATTCTTGGTAATACTTCAAGAACAACCGCCATCACCCAAATACATGTTATTTTATATACGACTATTAAATCTATGCTTTACATTTTTCCTTGTAAAACTATATTGTTAAATGTCTTTGTTATCTTTTTAGATGGTTGGTAAAGTGGCCTTAAAGCCTATAAACACACGATGGTCATTTAGGTCGCATGTTACCTTTTTAGATTAAAGATTCTCTATTTCAGCATGATACAATGTCTGTACAGAGGTGAATGACATTTAGGTATTTACCATCATGAAAAACACTTTTATTACAAATATGGGCGTATGAGAATTAAAGTAGACTTTGAGTGTAAATATACTGAGATATATACTTGTCCACATGCACATTCACTGTTCTCTCAGTGTACACATCCAGAGATACACTCATCAGAATCAATACATTTATGCTCCGGCCTCGACTTTACACCTCAGTTGTTCACTCTATATATAATTTATTAGCAATGAGGCTTGACTAAGCTCCTAACCTAAAAATGCAGTATTCAGAACCTTCTTTATGTATCCAGTTTCCTAATTAGTTTGGCATGTATGGTAAATGCAGTACTTGTACGAACCTGTATCTCCCAGAAGATAGATCTTGTGTGGCGGTGATAGTAATCTCGAAGGGGAAAATATTCCACACCAGTTTCGTGATTTATTAAGTACGTCTCTACGTGCTTAAAAAACCATGGTTTATACCATCGTCCAATTTTGTTGAGCTAGGAAAAAGAGGATTAAAATTTGAGCAGGACTGTATGAACCTTAGATCTGATATATCATATATTTTTGCATATTTTCTAGCTTCCTGAATAAAATCGTAACAATTCTAGAAAGAAAAAAAAAAGATGACTTGAAGATTCGTCAGCAGTGAAATATAGTAATTCAAATTCTTACATATTGTTATTCTATTTGGAAAAGAGGACAAGCGCCTCTCGACAAGTATTTTAATAATTTACATGACTCGTTATTAATAATTAGAATTCTTGGATAGGTCAGGTATACCTGCCGGTCCATGAATAGACAAGTTATTTTTTATTAAGTAAATTTTCATCAAGGTTAAGTTGCTATGTTAGTTTCGGTGCAATAAAAATAGAAGCATATGAAAAATATGTATATTTCACTATTCTTTGGGGAAGCGACTCTTCAGGTAATCTAAATAATAAGTAACAATGGTCATTGTTTAATAAATTGAACCATACAAAGTGTCCTGTATTATTTATATCATTAATCATAACATCGAAGATTGAGACACTTATGAAACATATGGGAATCTTTATTCAGGAAACGTTTCGCCACACAGTGACTTCATCAGTCCAATACAAAGTAAAAATGCGTAAGGAGAGGAGGAGTTTGAGGTAATCAGTCCCTCAGCCTGGAGTCGATGTGTTCAGTCTGAACACATCGACTCCAGGCTGAGGGACTGATTACCTCAAACTCCTCCTCTCCTTACGTCTTTCTACTTTGTATTGGACTGATGAAGCCACTGTGTGGCGAAACGTTTCCTGAATAAAGATTCCCATATGTTGCATAAGTGTCTCAAATCTTCAACATGTCGGCTTTTCAAACCATTCATCACAATCATAACATCATCATACGTCAGCTTGGTCAGCTGAAAATTCGCCCCTTTCCTTAGCAAAAAAGTTAATTGAGGCTATGCAAAGTCTCCGATATGTTAAGGAAATGCAAAACAACCAGGGGAGAAGTTGAATGCTCGCTCTAATCCTTTCGTATTGCAATCAACACATCAGGACCTTGCAATGTTGCAGAAAGGAAGAGGTCCATGCAGATACGGCCGAAGCAAAGGCGCTCCTTGTGATAGTATCTCCTTGGACCTCCTCTTTCCTGCAACACTGCAAATTCCTGACGTGTTGATTGCAACACAAAAGGCTTAGAGCTATCATTCAACTTCCCCCGTGGTTGTTTTGCATCTTGTATCACTTGTTCGCGATATTTGCATGTTAGGGAAATTAATATATTCTATATCACATAAATTTTAGAAATATTACGTTAAGTTTGGCGAGTTTTGGTACATAATTCATATTTGTTACATAAAAAATGCATAACTTTAATTAGCCGTGTATTCTGGAGAATATGGGGGGGGGACGAGTCTTCAGGTTATACGTTATTTGTATTTTCAAAGTATTACTTGGCCAGGGTGAGCAGCTGTGCACATGTTAGCAGTCATGACCACACCAGAGTGCAGAGAGTACATCACTCCCTCCACAAACTGGTTTCCTTCAACTTTCGTGGTTTCTTGTGTAAAAGTATTAACGATGTCGTCCAGGGAGTAACAAGGTTTGTATTCCACACGAACAAACCTGTCAGTTAAGAAATGTTGTCAGCACCATAATGTAATTTACATTAGTTTAGGATCACCTTAATTATTATTGCATTCATGAGGAAGCATTCCCCTCAAGGGAAGTTCCTTGATGCCGGTGAAGGGCTCTTGATCTAAGGAACTAGATCTGTGCTCCACTTTCCTGAATTAAACCTGAATGCCTTCTATCCCCCCCTCCCTCAGGCGCTGTATAATCCTTATGGGTTTAGCGGTACCTCATAATAATAATGGGAAGCATTACACCCGCAGGGGTCACACGGCCTAGAGAATGGGAGGTAATCAAGTTTGATTAAAGGAAGGAAAGGGTAGATCCAGTTTCCTGGACCAAGAGCCCTTTAATTAAAGAAAAAAATCATTGTTATAACAGCAAGATTCTTTAAGCATGTGGTAGGTATATTCTGCCTCTGGTATACTCTTTACCTTAGTCTCTGATTTAGTATACTATGACCCTTGTGGGTTTAGGGCGTAGTTTTGATTGTAATAGTAATAATATTCGTAGTTATTCGCTTCATGTATTACTATATCAAAAAATTTGGATAAGTTCCTCCCCCCCAAAAAAAAACATTTTTTAAAAAAAAGGAGTACTCATTTATGTGTAAAATGTATTAATAAAACTTACCTCTGAGCGGGAATAATTTTAATTTTTACTGCTGTTAAAAATCCCAGGGTGCCGTACGACCATGGAACAGAGTAGAACAAATCTCTATTTTCAGTCTGGAAAAAAAGAGAATAAAATTTTCTGGGAAAAAAAATATATTTTGCTTATTAGACAATACAGTTATATAGGCAGCAAAGTTATGTGGGTTAACTGGGTTTAAAACCCATCGCTTATAAGAGGGTCATTAAAGTAACGACGGTGGTAAACATGTGGAAAAAGACATGTATAGTCAGCACTCTTATTAAAAGAAACGTTTTGCCACTAATGGGTTTTTTTTAGTCCTAATAAAGAAGTCGTGGCGAAACGTTTCCTCCAATAAGTGTCCTGAACTGTACGTGTCTTTTTCTCCACATCTTGTCGGTATCACCAGAACATTTTTCAGTAAACAGATGACATGCAACCTTAATCCTTAATATTGCAAACAAAAAAAAAATAAACTCGGCACACATACACTGTTACTCCTGCTACCATGGTTAGTTTGTTACGTTGAAACCCAGTCAAGTGCACAAGGATCACTGAGGCTACATTTCACCTGTACACAGAATACTTCCATCCTAATATAACGATGGAAGTAAACTTTGAGCGTATAAACACACACAGATATTAAAAGGCAATGAGTAGAATAATAATAAAACATGAAAACTTAGCTTTATATCGACGCCTAATTGTCATCTTCACCCTCAGCTGACAGTCGAAATATTCAGCCAGTCTCTTTTAGGTGTTTTATAGTCAATATGTGATTTTTCTCTCGATACTGACAGGTACTCATTACATTCAAACAAACATCTCACTCAGAGGTAATTACTGCATCTAGGTGTATATACGACTTTCGGTGTTACTAAGTGATAAGTCAACAAATCTGGAATTACTGGGGGCGCCAGAATTTCTGTTCTGGGAGAATTGAGGAAGGAATGGGGGTGGCTGCCTTTTTGGAGATTTTTGGGGCTGAAGGAATTATTGGATAGCTGAACCTTTGGCGTCACCTCTACCTAAGATATATATACATACATACATAGTACAGTAATTAATGGTTGGGGTAAGTTACACGTAGGAATAAAAAATGTGGTTAGGTTAGGTAATATTCGTCAGGAACCAGGACAAGTGTTTTCTGACGCCGCTGCAGCTTTTGCTAGTAGAAGTTCTGGTTTAAGTAAGTATTAAATATTCCATTTGGTGAAATAATTGTGTAAAGATTTAACCTTTTAACAGAATATTTCTTTTGATGGAGTTTCTGTAATGTAATGAATCATTTGGAATTATATATAATCTTAAAATATAATAAAAGTAACAATACCGTGATGGAACAATTAACAAATAACAAACACTTTTTGGAGAGAGAGAGAGAGAGAGAATGTAGACGTTTCAGTCCCGAACTATTAAGTCACAAGTGAGAAAAAGTAGAGAAAACGCTGCTGTTGTTACTGCTGCTACTACTACTACTGTAGTAGTAGTAACAGCAGTGGTAGTGGAAGCAGCAGTATTAGTAGTAGTAGTAGTAGTAGTAGCAGCAGTAGCAGCGGTATTAGCAATGGAGGTAAATTACATCTCTATTACTGCATTTTTACCCCAATGGAAATTAAGTCACTGTGACTTTTTGGGGTTGTCCTGGGTAATCTCCACATACATTACTAGGTATGGTAATTACTTATTTGTACCTAAACAAACTGATCTTACCCATCCTGTCTTCTGATCCTGGAGTTTACCTGGAGTTTACCTGATATTTCTCACCCAGTTTTGATTGAGTGAAACGTTGTCTAGAATGTCTCAGGATGAAAGATACCACTAAATTCCTTATATATGATGTAATACTGGGCCTCACCTCAGAACACATTGATGTAATACTGGGCCTCACCTCAGAATACATTGATGTAATACTGGGCCTCACCTTAGAACATTGATGTAATACTGGGCCTCACCTCAGAATACATTGATGTAATACTGGGCCTCACCTCAGAATACATTGATGTAATACTGGGCCTCACCTTAGAACACTGATGTAATACTGGGCCTCACCTCAGAACACTGATGTAATACTGGGCCTCACCTCAGAACATTGATGTAATACTGGGCCTCACCTCAGAACACATTGATGTAATGCTGGCCCTCACCTCAGAACATTGATGTAATACTGGGCCTCACCTCAGAACACATTGATGTAATACTGGGCCTCACCTCAGAATACATTGATGTAATACTGGGCCTCACCTTAGAACACTGATGTAATACTGGGCCTCACCTCAGAATACATTGATGTAATACTGGGCCTCACCTCAGAATACATTGATGTAATACTGGGCCTCACCTTAGAACACTGATGTAATACTGGGCCTCACCTCAGAACACTGATGTAATACTGGGCCTCACCTCAGAACACTGATGTAATACTGGGCCTCACCTCAGAACACATTGATGTAATGCTGGCCCTCACCTCAGAACACTGATGTAATACTGGGCCTCACCTCAGAACACATTGATGTAATGCTGGCCCTCACCTCAGAACATTGATGTAATACTGGGCCTCACCTCAGAACACTGATGTAATACTGGGCCTCACCTCAGAACACTGATGTAATACTGGGCCTCACCTCAGAACACATTGATGTAATACTGGGCCTCACCTCAGAATACATTGATGTAATACTGGGCCTCACCTTAGAACACTGATGTAATACTGGGCCTCACCTCAGAATACATTGATGTAATACTGGGCCTCACCTCAGAATACATTGATGTAATACTGGGCCTCACCTTAGAACACTGATGTAATACTGGGCCTCACCTCAGAACACTGATGTAATACTGGGCCTCACCTCAGAACACTGATGTAATACTGGGCCTCACCTCAGAACACATTGATGTAATGCTGGCCCTCACCTCAGAACACTGATGTAATACTGGGCCTCACCTCAGAACACATTGATGTAATGCTGGCCCTCACCTCAGAACATTGATGTAATACTGGGCCTCACCTCAGAACACTGATGTAATACTGGGCCTCACCTCAGAACACTGATGTAATACTGGGCCTCACCTCAGAACACTGATGTAATACTGGACCTCACCTCAGAACACTGATGTAATACTGGGCCTCACCTCAGAACACTGATGTAATACTGGGCCTCACCTCAGAACACTGATGTAATACTGGGCCTCACCTCAGAACATTGATGTAATACTGGGCCTCACCTCAGAACACTGATGTAATACTGGGCCTCACCTCAGAACACTGATGTAATACTGGGCCTCACCTCAGAACACTGATGTAATACTGGACCTCACCTCAGAACATTGATGTAATACTGGGCCTCACCTCAGAACATTGATGTAATACTGGGCCTCACCTCAGAACACTGATGTAATACTGGGCCTCACCTCAGAACACTGATGTAATACTGGGCCTCACCTCAGAACACTGATGTAATACTGGGCCTCACCTCAGAACACTGATGTAATACTGGGCCTCACCTCAGAACACATTAAAACTGAGCCGTCTGCCACTACTAATTCGTATGCTACACAGATATGTTGAAACAGTCCCATCTTGTGTGACGACGTCTCTATACCAGTACCCATTACCAGTCCACCTGTAACAAATATTTACTGATACCAACTATAATACCGGAGATTTTGTAGCAATGAAAAGCTGTGTGGGTACTGTTTAGTAGGTCACTTTAATTCACTCATGCATTGCAAGAATATGATGAGTCTTACCTATTTTCTGACAAATTAGTTTACTAATTTTGTGACTGAAAAGAAAGTAGGTAGGTGTTCGGTGCATAATTTGTTTGGGTTTAAAAGAAGAAAAAAAGTGCTTTTTGAAGTTTTAAATTGTGTAATGGCTAGGGATGGGGTACCTGTGGCCTTCTAGTACATTAAGTGCGACCTTTTGAATGATTATTTTTTAAGTTATATATAATTAACTTTTTACAAAATAACCGGCATTTAGCAGTATATATAATAAAACAGGGCAAGTGTTTTTTAACACTGGTTTTGTTGATTTGATGACCCGCTACCTAGTTAGGTTAGGAAAAGTTTGTCAGGAAACAGGACAAGTGTTTCCTGACGTGGGTCTTAGTCATATGATAACCCGAAACTGGAACTTTTGGTCATCTGACCGAGGCCTTCCGCTGGCTTACCAGTCCACCCCATTAAAAATTATGGTTATGATTATAACCATTTTGTGCATTTTTGACTATACCCGCTCCAGGAGCTCATGATCACATGACTAAAAACCTTCTGCTGGCTTCCCAGTCCATCCCTTTAAAAATTAAAAATCTCTCAGTGAAAGATCGAGTGAATAATATAAAAGGTTCAGCGCTTCGCATTAGCATAATAATAATAATAACAGTTCATGTGAATCAAAACTTACCGATAGTAAGATCATCCATCTCTGGCACGACTGGGATGGTCCATCCCAGCTCAGTGAGAGTGTGAGTCAGCTGACCCATTGTTACAAGCGGCTCACAGCGTACAGTCTGGTGTTACCACAAAAGTCATAGACATTACAGAATTACATTTTAATTATGACATATTTAAATAATTGAGATTTAAAGGGTCTGGTGGCTAAAGTTCTCGCTTCACACGGCGAGGGTTTAGGGTTCAATTCCCGGCGAGGGTAGATACATTGAGCGTGTTTCTTTACACCGGTTATCCATGCTGACCTATCAGTAAAAATGGGTACCTGGGTGTTAGTGGACTGGTGTGGGTCGCATCCTGGGACAAAACTGACCTAATTTGTGGGAAATGCTCAGCATAACAAGCGGTTTTCTATATAGTAGTATGCCATTGATGTCAGCTATGGTCTGTATACGTTGTTTACCTGGAGAGAGTTCCGGGGGTCAACGCCCCCGCGGCCCGGTCTGTGACAAGGCCTCCTGGTGGATCAGAGCCTGATCAACCAGGCTGTTGCTGCTGGCTGCACGCAAACCAACGTACGAGCCACAGCCCGGCTGATCAGGAACTGACTTTAGGTGCTTGTCCAGGGCCAGCTTGAAGACTGCCAGGGGTCTGTTGGTAATCCCCCTTATGTGTGCTGGGAGGTAGTTGAACAGTCTCGGGCCCCTGACACTTATTGTATGGTCTCTTAACGTGCTAGTGACACCCCTGCTTTTCATTGGGGGGATGGTGCATCGTCTGCCAAGTCTTTTACTTTCGTAGTGAGTGATTTTCGTGTGCAAGTTCGGTACTAGTCCCTCTAGGATTTCCAGGTGTATATAATCATGTATCTCTCCCTCCTGCGTTCCAGGGAATACAGGTTTAGGAACCTCAAGCGCTCCCAGTAATTGAGGTGTTTTATCTCCGTTATGCGCGCGTGAAAGTTCTCTGTACATTTTCTAGGTCGGCAATTTCACCTGCCTTGAAAGGTGCTGTTAGTGTGCAGCAATATTCCAGCCTAGATAGAACAAGTGACCTGAAGAGTGTCATCATGGGCTTGGCCTCCCTAGTTTTGAAGGTTCTCATTATCCATCCTGTCATTTTTCTAGCAGATGCGATTGATACAATGTTATGGTCCTTGAAGGTGAGATCCTCCGACATGATCACTCCCAGGTCTTTGACGTTGGTGTTTCGCTCTATTTTGTGGCCAGAATTTGTTTTGTACTCTGATGAAGATTTAATTTCCTCATGTTTACCATATCTGAGTAATTGAAATTTCTCATCGTTGAACTTCATATTGTTTTCTGCAGCCCACTGAAAGATTTGGTTGATGTTCGCCTGGAGCCTTGCAGTGTCTGCAATGGAAGACACTGTCATGCAGATTCGGGTGTCATCTGCAAAGGAAGACACGGTGCTGTGGCTGACATCCTTGTCTATGTCGGATATGAGAATGAGGAACAAGATGGGAGCGAGTACTGTGCCTTGTGGAACAGAGCTTTTCACCGTAGCTGCCTCGGACTTTACTCTGTTGACGACTACTCTCTGTGTTCTGTTAGTGAGGAAATTATAGATCCATCGACCGACTTTTCCTGTTATTCCTTTAGCACGCATTTTGTGCGCTATTACGCCATGGTCACACTTGTCGAAGGCTTTTGCAAAGTCTGTATATATTACATCTGCATTCTTTTTGTCTTCTAGTGCATTTAGGACCTTGTCGTAGTGATCCAATAGTTGAGACAGACAGGAGCGACCTGTTCTAAACCCATGTTGCCCTGGGTTGTGTAACTGATGGGTTTCTAGATGGGTGGTGATCTTGCTTCTTAGGACCCTTTCAAAGATTTTTATGATATGGGATGTTAGTGCTATTGGTCTGTAGTTCTTTGCTGTCCCTTTGTGGAGTGGGGCTATGTCTGTTGTTTTTAGTAACTGTGGGACGACCCCCATGTCCATGCTCCCTCTCCATAGGATGGAAAAGGCTCGTGATAGGGGCTTCTTGCAGTTCTTGATGAACACGGAGTTCCATGAGTCTGGCCCTGGGGCAGAGTGCATGGGCATGTCATTTATCGCCTGTTCGAAGTCATTTGGCGTCAGGATAACATCGGATAGGTTTGTGTTAATCAAATTTTGTGGCTCTCTCATAAAAAAAATCATTTTGATTTTCGACTCTCAGTCTGGTTAGCGGCTTGCTAAAAACTGAGTCATATTGGGACTTGAGTAGCTCACTCATTTCCTTGCTGTCATCTGTGTAGGACCCATCTTGTTTAAGTAGGGGCCCAATACTGGACGTTGTTCTCGATTTTGATTTGGCATAGGAGAAGAAATACTTTGGGTTTCTTTCGATTTCATTTATGGCTTTTAGTTCTTCCCGCGATTCCCGACTCCTAAAGGATTCTTTTAGCTTAAGTTCGATGCTTGTTATTTCTTTGACCAGTGTCTCCCTACGCATTTCAGATATATTGACCTCTTTTAGCCGCTCTGTTATTCTTTTCCGTCGCCTGTAAAGGGAGCGCCTGTCTCTTTCTATTTTACATCTATTCCTCCTTTTTCTTAGAGGAATAAGCCTTGTGCATACATCGAGTGCCACCGAGTTAATCTGTTCTAGGCATAAGTTGGGGTCTGTGTTGCTTAGTATATCTTCCCAGCTTATATCGGTTAGGACTTGGTTTACTTGGTCCCACTTTATGTTTTTGTTATTGAAGTTGAATTTGGTGAATGCTCCCTCGTGATTAGTCTCATTATGTCGGTCTGGGGCTCCACGCATACATGTCTGAACCTCAATTATGTTGTGATCTGAGTATATTGTTTTTGATATGGTGACATTTCTTATCAGATCATCATTGTTAGTGAAGATGAGGTCTAGTGTATTCTCCAGTCTAGTAGGCTCTATTATTTGCTGGTTTAAATTGAATTTTGTGCAGAGATTTAAAAGCTCGTGTGAGTGTGAGTTTTCATCAGAGCTGCCTCCTGGTGTTATTACTGCAACAATATTATTTGCTATATTCCTCCATTTTAGGTGCCTTAAGTTGAAATCCCCCAGGAGCAAGATGTTGGGTGCAGGAGCTGGAAGATTTTCCAGACAGTGGTCAATTTTTAACAGCTGTTCCTGGAATTGCTGGGATGTTGCATCCGGAGGCTTGTAGACTACCACAATGACTAGGTTTTGGTTCTCGACCTTTACTGCTAAAACTTCCACTACATCATTTGAGGCATTAAGCAGTTCTGTGCAAACAAGTGACTCTGCAATGTACTGTGGTGCCTGCGCTGAGTTGTGTCTTGCAACACCAACAGCCTAACTGATCAAGCCATCAACCAGAAGACCTGGTCTGGGACCGGGCGGTGGGGGCGATGACCCTCGTACTCAACAGTAGGTAGTGCTGCCTTGTGAATGTCAAGGAAGAAAAGAATAATAAATCATAGTCTGTTAGATTTACTGGTTGTCGACTGCCCGAGTGTCTCTTGTACACACTAGTCTAAGATACATTATATATATTTATTTCTACAGGTACAACGTATACAGACCATAACTGACATCAATGACATACTACTATATAGAAAGCCGCTTGTTATGCTGAGCATTTCAGGCAAATTAGGTCAATTTCGTCCCAGGATGCGACCCACACCAGTCGACTATCACACAGGTACCCATTATTACTGATGGGTGAATAGGGGCAACCGGTGTAAGGAAGGATGTTCCCACCCTTGACGGGAATCGAACCAGGACCCTCAACGTGTGAAGCGAGAGCTTTTGCCACCAGGCCACGAACCATTAATTCCTAAATCAGTGATTAAACTTGATTTATATACATTGAGAGACACACATCTCGGAGTATATAACATGTATGAAAATTTGGCAAGTTAATTTGGTTTTAAGCCTGTCGACTACCCAGAAGGTTATTAAGGCTGTATGTAACGTTTCATTAGCCAGGCAAGCATCTCATGATCCCTATAATAGGGAGTGAAATAAATTCAGCATATATACACCGAAACAAAATTTGGGTTAATGGGATTTAAAGCCCATCGAATTTTTAAGACTGCACGTAGGAGTTACACCGCCAGACAAGAATAATTTAATCCTTAAACTAGGGATTAAAGTAAACTCTCATCATATATACTCAGAAATACACATTTAAGTGTAAATATCCTGTTACAAAAATATATATTTTTATAACACTGGTAGTGCACAAAAATTAAGCATTTTTATGTATCTTAAACAATATTGATGTGAACATTAAAATGGTATAAAATACCGACAGGTTGTTAGGTAAGACACATATGCAACAGTTAGGTATCTTTATTTCGAAACGTTTCGCCTACACAGTAGGCTTCTTCAGTCGAGTACAGAAAAGTTGATAGAAGCAGAAGAGACTTGAAGACGATGTAATCAGTCCATCACCCTTAAAGTTTTGAGGTGGTCAGTCCATCAGTCTGGAGAAGAGCATTGTTCCATAGAATGAAACAATTCCATATTGTTTCATTCCATGGAACAATGCTCTTCTCCAGACTGAAGAAGCCTACTGTGTAGGCGAAACGTTTCGAAATAAAAATACCTAACTGTTGCATATGTGTCTTGCCTAACAATATTGATGTGATATTCCCCCCCCCCCAGAAGCTAAGACACTGACCATACCATCTCATCTGTATCAATTTCCAAGATATCCACCATATTTATTTGTATTTTGTGGAAGGCTTTCTTGTAGGCAGCCTCCCTGAAGCTTATTGACTGCCACCCTGGCCGCGCAGTACACATAGGGACAGCCTCGCTATTTATATTCCATTCCCGAACCTGTATGAAGAAGACAGATATTGTAACTTACCTTCGAGAAACCTTCAATATCCACTAACTCTTCCACTGATATATTATGTAATGGTTTAACAACCCGAGAAGTTGAACAATGAGAAACTTGTGCAATATTTGGGAATCTTTATTGAGGAAACGTTTCGCCAACCAGTGGCTTCTTCAGTCCAATATAAAGAAGAACAGTGAAAGACGAGGAGAATGAGGTAATCAGTCCCTCAGCCTGGAGTCGATGTGTTTACTCCAATTTTGAGATTCCCAAATGTTAGAGAAGTGTCTCATTCTTCAATTGATATATAACTATTTCATTTCTACCGTATAACTAGGCGAGTACATACATGTAGTGCATGATTTAGCGCTTACCGTACAGAGGATCGAGCCTACACAGGCGATGGATGATCCAAACGGGGTAAGCAATTCAAATATAATAACAATAATAATAATAACCATGTAAAGTAAAAGGACACAAGTGCAACTTATGTGACATTTTAGTGTGGCAACGTTTCGCTCTCCAGGAGCTTTGTCAAGCCGTTACGGCTTGACAAAGCCACAATAAAATGTCACATGAGTTGCACTTGTGTCCTTTTTACTGTACATATTGTCGATAATTCTACCACGTATTACAATAATAATCTTGTATTTGTCAGTAGCCAACCTGTCGTTGTACATCCTTGACTCTCATCTCGTGGTGTTCAGGAGCTGAATTAAGTTTGAAGATGATCCATGATCGTGTGTAGTAATACACATCAAAACACAGTGAAGCTGGAAGAAGGAAGAATACCACTACCACCCACCTGCAACATAAAAAAAATCAGGACAAGAAAATATTAGATAAAGAACATTCTGAAATCACTAAATGAGAAAATAGCATTTAAAAATTAAGGAATGACATGAGCGTAACGTGAAGAAATATTTTGATGGCTTAAATGTATTTTTTTTTTTTGTAATTATAATGATAATTATAGTTTGAATAGTTTGGTATAATACATATACCAAATATATTGGAATGTTATTAGAAATAGTACTCCATTCTGTGTATTGTCAAAAAAAAAAAGGTTATTAATTTAAGAAATTAAGACTAGAAAAAAAACTAAATTTATATATACAAATTTGTGTATGTATGACCATAGTAGGTTTAGTGTTTTATTTTAAATAATAATAATAATAATAATAATAATAATAATAATAATGTTCCTTCTCCCTGTCTTACACAAAAAAAATAATAATAAATAAATAAGTAAACTTAAAACTTTCCGTATTATTATTTTCTTGTTTTGCCTAATCAAAATTTCACATCAAGGAAGGTAACCCAAAATTTCACATCAAGGAAGGTAACCCAAAATTTCACATCAAGGAAGGTAACCCAAAATTTCACATCAAGGAAGGTAACCCAAAATTTCACATCAAGGAAGGTAACCCAAAATTTCACATCAAGGAAGGTAATGTTCGCGGCTTTCACTGAGACCCACATAAAGGATCACTTGGACAACGAAATATGGATCCTGGGTTACAACCTATACAGATGTGACAGAGTGAACAGGCAAAAGGGGGGGGGTTGGCCTGTACATTGCAGTCACTTGTTTGCACAGAACTGCTAAATGCCTCAAATGATGTAGTGGAAGTTTTAGCAGTAAAGGTCGAGAACCAAAACCTAGTCATTGTGGTAGTCTACAAGCCTCCGGCCCCTCAAGGAAGGCTCCTTGACGCTGGTGAGGGACTCTTGATCTAGGGAATTGGATCTGTGCTCCAGTTCCCTGAATTAAGCCTGAATGCCTTCCATCCCCCCATAGGCGCTGTATAATCCTATGGGTTTAGTGCTTCCCCCTTGATTATAATAATAATAATACAAGCCTCCGGATGCAACATCCCAGCAATTCCAGGAACAGCTGTTAAAAATTGACCACTGTCTGGAAAATCTTCCAGCTCCTGCACCCAACATCTTGCTCCTGGGGGATTTCAACTTAAGGCACCTAAAATGGAGGAATATAGCAAATAATATTGTTGCAGTAATAACACCAGGAGGCAGCTCTGATGAAAACTCACACTCACACGAGCTTTTAAATCTCTGCACAAAATTCAATTTAAACCAGCAAATAATAGAGCCTACTAGACTGGAGAATACACTAGACCTCATCTTCACTAACAATGATGATCTGATAAGAAATGTCACCATATCAAAAACAATATACTCAGATCACAACATAATTGAGGTTCAGAAATGTATGCGTGGAGCCCCAGATCGACATAATGAGACTAGTCACGAGGGAACATTCACCAAATTCAACTTCAATAACAAACACATAAAGTGGGACCAAGTAAACCAAGTCCTAACCGATATAAGCTGGGAAGATATACTAAGCAACACAGACCCCAACGTATGCCTAGAACAGATTAACTTGGTGGCACTCGATGTATGCACAAGGCTTATTCCTCTAAGAAAAAGGAGGAGTAGATGTAAAATAGAAAGAGACAGGCGCTCCCTTTACAGGCGACGGAAAAGAATAACAGAGCGGCTAAAAGAGGTCAATATATCTGAAATGCGTAGGGAGACACTGGTCAGAGAAATAGCAAGCATCGAACTCAAGCTAAAGGAATCTTATAGGAGTCAGGAATCGCGGGAAGAACTAAAGCCATAAATGAAATCGAAAGAAACCCAAAATATTTCTTCTCCTATGCCAAATCAAAGTCGAGAACAACATCCAGTATTGGGCCCCTACTTAAACAAGATGGGTCCTACACAGATGACAGCAAGGAAATGAGTGAGCTACTCAAGTCCCAATATGACTCAGTTTTTTAGCAAGCCGCTAACCAGACTGAGAGTCGAAGATCAAAACGAATTTTTTATGAGAGAGCCACAAAATTTTGTTAACACAAGCCTATCCGATGTTATCCTGACGCCAAATGACTTCGAACAGGCGATAAATGACATGCCCATGCACTCTGCCCCAGGGCCAGACTCATGGAACTCCGTGTTTATCAAGAACTGCAAGAAGCCCCTATCACGAGCCTTTTCCATCCTATGGAGAGGGAGCATGGACACGGGGGTCGTCCCACAGTTACTAAAAACAACAGACATAGCCCCACTCCACAAAGGGGGCAGTAAAGCAACAGCAAAGAACTACAGACCGATAGCACTAACATCCCATATCATAAAAATCTTTGAAAGGGTCCTAAGAAGCAAGATCACCACCCATCTAGAAACCCATCAGTTACACAACCCAGGGCAACATGGTTTAGAACAGGTCGCTCCTGTCTGTCTCAACTATTGGATCACTACGACAAGGTCCTAAATGCACTAGAGAAAAAAAGAATGCAGATGTAATATATATACAGACTTTGCAAAAGCCTTCGACAAGTGTGACCATGGCGTAATAGCGCACAAAATGCGTGCTAAAGGGATAACAGAAAAGTCGGTCGATGGATCTATAATTTCCTCACTAACAGAACACAGAGTAGTCGTCAACAGAGTAAAGTCCGAGGCAGCTACGGTGAAAAGCTCTGTTCCACAAGGCACAGTACTCGCTCCCATCTTGTTCCTCATCCTCATATCCGACATAGACAAGGATGTCAGCCACATCACCGTGTCTTCCTTTGCAGATGACACCCGAATCTGCATGACAGTGTCTTCCATTGCAGACACTGCAAGGCTCCAGGCGGACATCACCGAATCTTTCAGTGGGCTGCAGAAAACAATATGAAGTTCAACGATGAGAAATTTCAATTACTCAGATATGGTAAACACGAGGAAATTAAATCTTCATCAGAGTACAAAACAAATTCTGGCCACAAAATAGAGCGAAACACCAACGTCAAAAACCTGGGAGTGATCATGTCGGAGGATCTCGCCTTCAAGGACCATAACATTATATCAATTGCATCTGCTAGAAAAATGACAGGATGGATAATGAGAACCTTCAAAACTAGGGAGGCCAAGCCAATGATGACACTCTTCAGGTCACTTGTTCTATCTAGGCTGGAATATTGCTGCACACTAACAGCACCTTTCAAGGCAGGTGAAATTGCTGACCTAGAAAATGTACAGAGAACTTTCACGGCGCGCATAACGGAGATAAAACGCCTCAATTACTGGGAGCGCTTGAGGTTCCTGAACCTGTATTACCTGGAACGCAGGCGGGAGAGATACATGATTATATACACCTGGAAAATCCTAGAGGACTAGTACCGAACTTGCACACGAAAATCACTCACTACGAAAGCAAAAGACTTGGCAGACGATGCAACATCCCCCCAATGAAAAGCAGGGGTGTCACTAGCACGTTAAGAGACCATACAATAAGTGTCAGGGGCCCGAGACTGTTCAACTGCCTCCCAGCACACATAAGGGGGATTACCAACAGACCCCTGGCAGTCCTTCCAAGCTGGCACTGGACAAGCACCTAAAGTCGGTTCCTGACCAGCCGGGCTGTGGCTCGTACGTTGGTTTGCGTGCAGCCAGCAGCAACAGCCTGGTTGATCAGGCTCTGATCCACCAGGAGGCCTGGTCACAGACCGGGCCGCGGGGGCGTTGACCCCCGGAACTCTCTCCAGGTAAACTCCAGGTAACCCAAAATTTCACATCAAGGAAGGTAACCATCGCTTCGCACACAATGTGGTTTATTTAATCTTGATAATTAAAAAAAAAAACACTTTCGCCCTTACGGTCTTTACAGATTGATGATAAACCAAAGCTTAGTTTTTTGTGATTTATTAATGTGCACTCGAGTAGGCCTAATTCCCCCATTCTTCACCACAAGTAGGCATAATTACCTTCATTCTGCACTCGAGTTGCTGTATAGCCCTTGTGGCTTAGCGCTTCTTTTTTATTATAATAATAATCTGCACTCGAGTAGTCCTAATTCCTTTACACTACAATTTGTTCATGATTGTAGCCATGTATAAACGTAAGTAACCATTCTTACAGTATTCATTACCTTTGTAACTTGTGAGTTCATTACCTTGTACCTAGTTCAGGCATCACAACTTTGGGGCCCGGTCCCTGGACCCATTGTGTACCTCTGTAATCTGTAAATACCTTTGTAAATTGTCATGATTGTGACTAGACCTACCCGGAGTTCATTACCTTTGTAATTTGTGAGTTCGTTACCTTTGTAAATTGTGAATTCATTACCTCTGTAACTTGCTCAGCTATCAAAACTTTGGAGTCCAGTCCCTGGACCAATTATGTACCTCTGTAATCTTTTGACTACCGCCCACAGGATGGGTATGGGGTGCATAATAAACATATTAAACTAACTTCACTTCAGTAGGCCTAATCCTCATCATTCTCTACTCGAGTAGGCCTAAATCCCTTCAACCTTCACTCAAATGTACCTAATTCCTTTCATTCAAGTAGGCTTAATTCCCTTCATTTATTAGAGTAGTAGGCCTCCTTACAACACAAACCTTCATAAATAAAATTATGCCACAAAGAGGTTAAAAGCGACTTAATAAGTCACTCTGACTTTGTTGATTACCCCAGGTTCTCCCCTCATGGAAGGTTCCTTGATGTTGGTGAGGGGCTCTTGATTTAGGAATTGGATCTGTGCTCAGTTCCCCGAATTGAGCCTGAATGCCTTCCACATCCTCCCCCCCCCAGGCGCTGTATAATCCTACGGTTTAGCGCTTCCCTTGATTATAATAATAATAATAATAATATCCCAGGTTCTCTACACATATACTACTATGTATGATAATCTATGTAACTGTATTTGTATACGTCAGTAATAGTAGCAGGCAACCCCCCCCCCCCTGATCTCCTCTCAGGTTTCTTTACATTATTCTTAACTATTGTTCT